AAAATGACTCTTATAACTTAGCTATTAGCATAATCTACAGCTCTTTAAAGATAGTCCCTGGTCTAATGTACTATAAGCACTAAGGAACACTTATTCTCTATACTTGCCTTAGCTCTATGAATAACCATCCAATATTTGTCCACTAGATTTTATTACCACCTATTGCTACTCATAGTAGCTACTAACAGGAGCAATATATGTTATATATATTCTGCTTAAAAAAACACCTAGGAGCTTGTCATGTAACTCTGTAGTAGAGCAGTTTCCTAGGATGCCTAAGACCTATGGTTTCATTGCCAGTTTCAGGGGGTAGATGTCCAAACTTGGTGTCTTGAAACAACCATTTTATTCTCATGAATTCTGTGGTTTAGGAACTTGGACAGAGTACAACATGGATGGCTTTTCTCTGTTGCATAATATCTCGGGACTTGGTAAGAAAACTAAAGGCTAGAAATAGCTCTAGCGGCTCATAATTATAATCAGTAAAAGTCATCTTCTCATGTGGCTGGTGGTTGGACTGAGAAACTTGAAGCCACAACTAGATGAACTATTGACTAGAGCCATCTACACTTTACACTTGGCTTGTCCATGTCACTAGGATTTTCTCATGGCATGTTGGCTAAATTCTGAAATTGGGTATTCCAAAACAAAACAGCATTGAGTAATCATGTAGCATTACTTCTACATTTTCTTGGTGCTAAGTGAGTTATTAAAGCCATATCAAAAGGTCATCAAGGATTGCTTAAGTGTTTTAATGAAGGATTGGCCTTGAGTCAGCAATTACTGGCCATTAGAATGGCTATGTCTTTAGGATCACGTATGAATGTCTGTTGTCAGAATTATTAGTAAAAAAGTCTCCAGTGAGCAAAGACATGAGTGCCAGTATGTGTCATAATGCTGTGTTCTGGAAACAAAGTACAAACATTGGTCTTTTAACTTGGCTTTCATGTCATCAACTCAGAATTGTTCATATCAGTGCCCTTTGGCCAACACTATCAGAAACCTAAACATGTTGTGTGTGTTGCATTCAGAGAGAACATGTACCTTAGGGGCACTGTGAAGTATATATCAAAGGGTGTTGGAACATAAAATATAATTTGGGTTTTTGTTGGGCAATTTGGAGGAATGATATAAGACACTGGAAGGTCACTTTGGATTGGGTATTGTCAGAAAGCAAGGGTAGTGCTGTAAGTATTAAATCTTTAGGGAAGAGTGTGGATTAAGTTGTGCTTGTTTTTGAAAATTCAGTCCTTCAGCAAGAGAGGATGTTTGGTGTGAAAGTAACAAACCTGTTGGTGACAAAATCGGCTCAAACTGAAAAGAGAAAAGTACCTATACTGTTAGGTTGGAAGGACAAAGCCAGCTGCAAAGTTAACAGAAAACATTTTTTTCAGGGTCCTATAGCAGCTGTAAAATAGCATTATGACCTCCACTTTGTGTGACTACTGCTTTGTTAATAATGAAACCCTGAGAACTATTTCTGCCTGTCTGTTACTTGGGATATCCAGTTGCTTAACTTCTCTTGACTCATGACGGCACCCAAAATCTAGTTAATCTCCACTTCTAGTCTTTTTTTTTTTTGGTACTGGGGATTGAGCCCAGGGCTGCTTATCACTGTGCTACATCCCGAGTCGCTGTTTGTTTGTTTGTTTGAGACAGGGTCTCACCAAACTGCTGAGGCTGGCCTAGACTTGTGATCCTCTCGCCTCAGCCTCCTGAGTCACTGGTATTACAGGCATGCACCACCCTGCCTGGCTTGCGCTTCCAGTCTTGCTGCAGAAACAAAATCCCACCCAAAACCTTCCCTTATAATGTCCTCAGAATCCTTCAGCAGAAATTAAAACCTTACCAAAGATGGCTTTGTCCTCTCCCTAATGGAATATACCATCTTCAGTTCCCCTGGTTTGTGCCTCTTTGCAAGTTAATAATTGATTTTTGCTGGATGATAGGCTTAAGCCTAGTGGTCTTTGTTTGACTAGACTTTAGCAGTTGTAAATAATTTAAGCTCACGTATGCTGTTGCCCTATTGTGTCAGCCTGGCAAAACACCAACCTTGGAGGAACCCAACAATGCTGTAAAGCATGTTTTCTGTAGGTTTGTACTACTGTAAATTCATGATCACCATCTTCATTTAGGTTCTCAGGGCTGCCAATCATCTGTTTTTAATTTTTGTTTAAGTGCTTCATACCCTTTCCACTCTTAACAACCCCTTCATCCTCTGAATACTTCTGCTTGAGCTAACCCTGCATCATCTATTGAACATGTCACTCCAATGAAGAAAAGAGATTTGGCCCTGGTATTTCTCTCAAACTATAATTCTACGCCTACTTCATAGACTTCTCATCTCATTTTCTCCATTCCCTTGTCTCTTACTTGATCTTCAAATCCACTATGCCTTCTCCACTATACACAATGAGCATCACTATTGTCACCAGCAACCTCTACATCATTAAATTCAGTAAACAATTTTTTTTATATATATTTTAGTTACTGATGGACCTTTATTTATTTATTTGCTTATATGTAGTGCTGAGAATTGAACCCAGGGCTTCACACATGCTAGGCCAAGTGCTCTACCACTGAGGCACAACCCCAGCCCCAGGAAACAATTTAGCTTGTCTTCTGGCAGTGCTGACACAAAAACTGAAAATCTCTAATTATCTAAGACATAATAACTTGCTTTCTTTTTTATTATTTTCCTCAATTTTTTTGTGGGCTTCTATTGACCTAATCTGTAAGTATTGTTGTTTCTCAAAGCTCAGTACTAACCACTCTGTTTTTCTCATATTACAATGTTCTAGGACTGTTCATTCTCTCCCGTAGCTGCAGTTAGTACCTATCAGCCAGTAACCTATAGATTTGTTTGTATCTCGATTCCAGACTTTCCACCAGGTAGACTTAGAAAATTGAAGTCATGCTATCCCTGAATTTATTCCACCCTCTCAATGGTGGCCCTGCAACCTTTCCACTTGCTCCAATCAGAAACCTTGGCATTATTTTGTACTCCGACATCTATCCCTCAAGTTCCAGGTTCAATAATCCCCAAGAAGAGAGTGGAGTTCCTAAATTTCTTGGAGCTGTGCTCTCTTTCCTTACTGCCTAGGTACTAAGTTCTATTTTCTCTCCTGATGCTTTTTCAAAAGCTTTCTAGTGACTTTACCATATTGCTCTTGCATCCTACAATCTATTCTCTTAAGCAGTTACAGGTTCTTTCAGAAGTGCAAGTAGAATCATAAAATCCTTCTTTAGTAGAATTTCTATTCAAGAGGTTTTTAGACATTGAAAGAGGAAATGGTGGGGATGGAATATAACTAAGCACTGTATAGTGCCATTCGACATTTTATACTTCACAGAAGACAGATCAATTTGCATATCAGTCTTTTAGAAATGAAGGTGAATAGATGTCTTCCCATCAGTCGGTTTTGCCACCTTTGCTTAAATTAAAGTCCTTGCAATAAACAAGTATACTTCAATAAAGCTGTTTTAAAACAAAAATCTGGGCCAGAAAAGACGTGCTCTTTTCCTAATAGTCCACAACTCAAATCTATAATGATCTGGCCCCTGCCCACTAAACACACTTCAGGCTTCTCTCTCCTTTAGACCTCTCTCCGCCCTAATGCTGCTTAAAGGGGCTTGCTTTCAGCCATACTATTTAAAGGCAAATATAGTATGTTCTCGATACATTCTTGTTAATGGTAATTAGTAAATATAGTTGGAAGATATTTTCTGATGCTTTATGAGAAAGAGGCCAAGTTTTCTAAGTTTTTTAAGTCAGCTTTACTGAGGGATATAATTGTCGTTTAGGTTATTTACATAAGGATCACTCCGCTGTGGTGGTTGGTCAGTGGTTGGCTGCACCGCCACAAGGCTCTTGCTTACCAACTTAAGTACAAGCAGCTCCCCTTCCGAGTCACGTATCGGAAGTGAAGGCCGAAGGGGCGCAGACCAGATATCCGTCTGAGAAACCCCACCCTCTCCCGCGCTTTCTGCCCCTCCCTTTGCAGGTAGCGACCCGGGGTGTGGCCCGGGACTTGGGGCGGGACATCCGGTTTTTCTTCTTCCGGAGTCGTATAGCTGCTTCCCCCGCGCGGAGGTTCGAACCGCTGTAGTTTCCCCTTGTTCCTAGTTGTCGCCGCTGGCGCTGCCGCCCATCTCCCGCTGCTGGGATTTAACCACAAAACTTCTCAGCCAAAACCCTCTTCTGTGGCCCAAGGCCTCTGCAACTGATTGTTTTCCTTCACCAAGAATTTTTTTTAAATTCAAGAAGTATTCCTGAAGAAGCAGTCGTGGGCAGGCGCGGACGCTGTGCGGTTCAAGCTTTTTGACAAATTGAAACTCAAGAGACCTCCTTCCCACAACTTGCAGCTCAGAACTGCTGTGTGAGTGTGTCGTTTGTGGTTGTTTGAATGAGGCTTTTCGGCAACTAGATACTATGTTTTGATAAGTGAGTTGCCCAGTGATGTCAAGAGCAGATTAGTTTGTGTTTTTTCTGTCCTTAAATTCTGACGTAATGTGCTGGGTGTGAGAACGCAAACGGTAATTAGACAGTGGAAATGAGGGTTGGAGCCAGATTATGGTTCTTGTGATATGTCAGGGACTTTGAGCACTACATTGTTTCTTGTGTATGCTTGATTATTTAAGCATTAAAAAAAGGCAGTTATAGCCAGGCACGGTGGTTTATACTTGTAATCCACAGGATGGGGCAAGAGGATCCCAAGTTCTAAGCCAGCCTCAGCAATTTAGTGAGACCCTGCTTCAGAATAATAAAGTAAAAAGGACTGGGAATGCAGTTCAGTGGTAAAGCACCACTGAGTTAAATTTCCAGTACCAAAGATAATTAAAAGTAATTATGCATCAGTAAGGCTATTTTTTAAAATATTTATTTTTTAGTTATGGGTTGACACAATGTCTTTATTTTACTTAATGTGGTGCTGAGGATCCAACCCAGTGCCTCACACATGCTAGGCAAGTGCTCTACCTCTGAGCCACAACCCCAGCTTTTTTTTTTTTTAACTTGGCCAATAATAGAAACTGTTTTATGCAATTTGGAATAAGAAAATAAGCACCACTTTTTTTCTTGAAACACCAGGGAGACATATCTGAGGGATGTGTGTGTATGTGTGTGTGAGAGAGATAGAAACATTACCATTTGTTACCATTTAACAGGTATGTAAACAAGGGATGTGAAGCAGTTAGTATGGCCTAACTTGTAGAAAGCTCCCTAAGACAGCAATATTAGAGATGGAATAGAGAGGAGAAAAAAAACAGGGAAAAGGTCCTAGACTTCTGCAGAAGTTACGGAGAAAGTTGATTTAAAAAAGAAAAAAAAGTGCGAGTGTAAAGAAAGCCAAGTTCAAAAGAGAGAATCAACAGGACTTGTTATAGGGGCATGTAAGAATTCAAATACATATTGCTAATCTACTTTTAAGTGCCATTAACTGAAACTGCAAACTTGAGGGGAGCAAGAATTTTTAAATGTGATTATTTATTCTTTAATCATTCACTGAATATTTATTGTACCATTGTTATTTGCCTAATACTGTTTTAGGTGTCAGAGATAGAATTGTCCTTGGAAATAGGAAAGGTCCCTGCCTATTTGAGTTTATACCCTAATGGGAAAGTGCAAAACAGTCACTTTTGATAGTAGTAAACTCTATGAAGAAAAAATATGAAATAGGATAGGAGGTGATTGGGAGCAACTTTAACTTAGTTGGTCAAGTTAGGCCTTTTTGGGAGTGACATTTATGTTGAGACCTTAAGGATGACAAAGAACTAATGATGTGATGAACCATGGAAAAGTCAGAAAGACCAGTACAAAGATTCTGAGATAGGAAAGAAATTATTTAAAGAATGTTAAAAAGACCAATATGACTAAATGTCCTGAACAAGGGGAAGGGAGTTAGGAGATAACATTTGGAGTCAGAGAAAGAGGACAAGATTGTGTGGCCTATTGTAGGCTACACCTAGGAGTTTGAATTTTATTCCAAGTGAGAGTGGAACGTATTAGTGAATTTTAAGCCAGCAGATGATAGATCTAATTTTTATTTCAAAAGATTGCTTTGACTACTGAATTTAGATTGGACTTAAGGGAAGAGATAAGAGTGAAAGTGAGATTAGGGAATATTATAGAAATCTGCTTATTTATTTATTTATTTTAAATACTAGGCAAGTGCTCTACCACTGAGCCTAGAAGTCTGCTTTGGGTAGGAATGATTAAGCTCCATTTTAGTCTATATTGAATTTGATTTATCTGTAGGACACATGGAAAGCAACCTACCAGGATAGCAAGCAGCTAGCTGAAAGTTCTGGAGGAAGATCAGAAGTTCTCTAGAGAACTACAATAAATAGAATTGTATGATTTCCTCAAAAGAGACCATATAGCTAAATACTTATGTTCAGACATAGTCCACACAAGATTATGGACTATATCACATGCAGTTTAAATGGGGTGAGGTTTAAAAAGTCAGGGTGAAGCTTAAAAGTAACATAAGTATAGTAAGAAGAAATGAAATGGGGACTAAGGTCAGGGTTGAAGCATCCTTGATTTAGGGAATAAAGAAAAAAAAGGATTAAAGAGAGCAATAGAAGTAGAGAGAAACTCTTTACTTCTCTCTACTTCTCTCACATCCCAAACTGGAGTGTGAGGTGGTGGTAGTAGCGAAAGGGAAAATTTGGTGCAAAAGAAGGTTTACAGCATTTTCACAGATTAATCAGATCTCTAGTAGGATAAAGACTGAAGTCATTGGTATTAAGAAGACAGTGGTGACTATTGTGAAAAGTCTCAATAGAGAGGGAGAGGAGAAAGCTGGATTGTAATGAATCCAAGATTGATAAGAGAGAAAGTGGGCAATAAGAGTTTTACTACATTTGAGAAGTTTATCGATAGGAAATAGGGATAAAACAGGAAGGTCTTATTTATGGAAAGTTATTTTTTCTGACAAGTGAAACTTGATCACTGGAAAAACCAAGGGGATAATATGGAAGGGGAAGCAGGAAGTATTAGAAAAGGAATAAAAATATTTCATAAGATTTATTGAGCTCTTACAAGGCAACTTTTACCATGCTAGACACCGTCATGTGTATTTTTTCATTTAATCCTCATAATCCTGTTACTACCCATTTTACAAATGAAACAATCTGGGGCTATAAGCTAGTAAAAATGGCGTATCAATGAAACCTATTTCTCTAATTGCCCTTCCATTATACCTGTATGGAGAACACAAGTGAAGATAATCATTTCGAGGTAAGAAATCAAATTCAGGAAATGAGGATGAATGTAAGGCATTAGAAGTTTAAATAGCTGATTCACTAGTGTCATGGAACTACTTTTTAAACTCCAGGCTAGGGACAAGAATCCAGGTAGTTGAATTTCTTTTTCAGTGGTTTAGGCCTAATAGTTCCTTGTGACTCAGCTTCTCAGTCTCATATACCTCAGATGATTCCCTGCATTCTTATTGCAACAGTATAATTTGCTTGTTATTTGAAATTATATCCTGAGCATATATATAGTTTACAAAAATTAAACCTCAGGAAAAGTAAAACTACAAAAACTGATAAAGACAGTTTTAACATTTGTGAGCTATCTTCTCCCTCTAGGTTATGTGTCTATGGAGTGAAGTCCTAGGAGCTCATCAAGGCATTTTGTTAATTATATTAATTTTAGATCATTGAAAGTGTTTGTAGAAAGATCACTTTCCTTCTAGCAAAAGTAAATTTAGTGGCAGTGTTTTTCTTATGTTCTTAGAAAATGCATCTATTTACTTTGGTGGAACTTTTGTACATTAAGAGAACTATCTGCTATTGTGGTTTCCATTTCCTTCAGTCTCGCCTTGAAAGGACTTCTTACCCTGTTATAATGGCAGCCGAAGTGCAAATGGTACTTTATGAAGATGATTCAGTGCAGGTCCAGTATGTTGATGGTTCCAAATTGCAGCTTTCTCCCTGTGGCTCTGAATTTTTATTTGAAAAGTCACCTCCTGTTTCAGCACACCCTTTAGAACAACCAGAAAGAATTCGTCAAAGGACACACTTTGTTATTAGCACTTACCGAGTAAGTAATGTCATAAAACTACTATTTTTAATACTAAAATATTGTTGAAGTGGGCTAGAATATGAAAGGTAATTAGTATTCTGGATTACTGTCATTCTAAACTGATTTTCAAATCTTTTTATATTTTTAAAGATTAAATCTGACATTTCTTTTTATAGGAGCAACTACAGCGAGCCCTAGATTTTCGAAACTCTTCAGCTTCTTGCCTTTTTTTATCTGAAAGCATCATACCTTCTGAAAGAAAAAAGGTAATTTTTCTTCAAACCTCATTTAAAAAAAAAATTGTAGTTGTAGATGGACAGAATACCTTTATTTTATTTGTTTATTTTTATGTGGTGCTGAGGATTGAATCCAGTGCCTCATGCATGCTAGGCAAGCACTCTACCACTGAGCCACAGCCCTAGTCCCTCAAACCTCATTTTTATAAATAAAGATTTGAGAATAGGTAATTAGAAACTGGTAGTTTAATGTTCAGTTTTTTGTTTGTTTGTTTGTATCCTCCCTAGGACACTTGGGAGTAGAAACAAGCTATAGAATGCAAAGGGCCTAATCTGTAGGAATATGTAATTACATGTGTAAAAATTTTATTCTTTTGCTTATATTTGAGTTTACATTTTGAGGAATAATCATTTATTAAAGGTTTACTATATGTGCCAAGAACTAGGAATAATATTCTAAGTGGCAGTGTTAGGATTTGAAACTTCTCTAACTCCGAAGACTGTATTTACTGTATTTTTTTTTTTTTTTTTTTTTTGTACTGGGGATTGAACCCAGGGCCCTGGGCATGATAGGCATAAGCATGGGCTCTACCATTGACCCATAACCCCAGACTATCTTTCTGCGACCTGTTTATGCTTTTATGATGCTTACTGCCTACTGAATAATTGTATTATTTTGTATTGTGGCAAAGGAGTGGTAAAAAGGTGTAAGCTTTAACTTAGTCTGGAGGGTTTTGTTTCCCCATTATCCTTTTTTTCAGTGCTGGAGATGTAATCTAGGCTTCCCTCATGCTAAGCAAGCATTTTGCCACTGAGTTACATCCCTGGCCTCTCACTGTATCTTTTAAGTAATTTTATTCATTGAAATTATGTAGCTTGCCACTGATTCTGCAATAGAATAATTAGATAGTCTAATTCTAAAAAAAAAGTTCCTGACCATTCTTACAAACCAGGTTTGCCATAAAATAAATACTGCCTTTATTTTATCATTGTAACATAGATGGCACTATAATTCAAGAGTCTTTTTTGACAATAGGTCTAAAAAAAAAGTTCCTGACCATTCTTACAAACCAGGTTTGCCATAAAATAAATACTGCCTTTATTTTATCATTGTAACATAGATGGCACTATAATTCAAGAGTCTTTTTTGACAATAGGTTTTTTAAAATTAAGTTTTTATATACATGGAAGCCGAAATGTCAAATTAATTAAACATTTAATTAAGATAGTATGCGCCACCTCTGTTTATATGTTAGATGAAAAAACACAACAGGCACAGTTATTTGTTATGAGTCTCTTTCCTATTTGTCAGGATCAATTTACCTTTAAGTAGTTAAAATTTTTTAAATTACTCTTTAAGCCATTGGGAATTTATTTTAGTTTATGGTATGCCATGTATCATCTGGCAGATACTTTATATATTATCTTATTTTTTAAGTCCATGTGATAACCTTCTAAGACACCATTTCCCCAAAAGCTATTTAGTAATTCCAGTACCATTTATTAAGTAAGCCTGTCTTTTCCCCTTTGATAATATATAAAAGCATACATTATCACTTGTAACAATTTAAGATATGAATGAGTCTGTTTTTGTATTTTCTGAATGGTTCTGGAAGTGACTTTTGTGCTAGTTCCATACCAGTTAAGCTCTGATTGCTTTTATTGTAAAATAGCACAGTGTAGGGCTGGGGTAGTAGCTCAGCATGCCACACGTCCGGGGGCCTGGGTTCAATCCTCAGCACCACATTAAAAAAATAAATAAACAAAGGTATTTTGTCCAACTACAACTAAAAAATAAATATATTTTAAAAAATATAGCACAGTGTAGATTCCTTCCTCATATTATTTTTCAGAGTGACTTTTAGGGTGGGAGATATGACAATCTACTTATCTCTAATTCAGTGTAACATTTTAAACCTAAATTTTGGGGAGGGGGGAGACAGCCAGCATCTCATTGGGGGGGTTCTTCTGCCCAGAGGAGTCCAAGCCACTCTAAATCTTAATATCTCAAATAATTAACAAATAATAAAACACACTCAGAAATATATTTACAAAAGCGAAGCCTCTGATAGATCTAGTCCATATTGGTTCTTGAACTAGACAAAGACAAAATGGCTGTGGTGGTTTATTTAAGGGTGTACATCAAAGGCAGGGGTAAGGTTTCAAGAGTAGAGTCTTGTTTTGTGATGTCTTGTAGTCAGCATGTTGATTGACATCTTGGCAGGTCACACCCATCTCAGGTGCTATGTGGGATCTTAGGCAGAGATTGAGGGAGAAGTTCACCTTATCAGGTGGTCAGTCCCTATGGGGAGTGCCCCAAGGAGTTCCCACTGCCAGACTTATCCCCTCAGGAGGCTACTGTGCGCAACATAGTCCATGCACAGTCCACAGAATATCTGTGACACTAAATATGTTTAACACTAAATACAATCAAGGTACTTTTTTTTCTTCTTTCCTTTCATTTTGTGTGTATTTTCTACCTCTTTTACTAAGAGAGAATGTTAACTATCACATATTCTCTAGACAGCTATATATTAGGCTCTCCATTTTTTCAGTCTAAGTAGTAAAAATACAAACAAGCAATAAGAGCTTTCTCAATAACTTGATATTTAAATATCAAAAGTTGGGCTGAGATTGTGGCTCAGTGGCAGAACGCTTGCCTCACGCGTGTGAGGCACTGGGTTTAATCCTTAGCACCACATAAAAATAAATAAAACAAAGATATTATGTCTGTGTATAACTAAGAAAAAGTTTTTCAAAAAGTATTGAAAAATATGACTGTTAACAGAAATTACTCACCATGCCCTTTCTTTTAATGCAGTGCATCTTCATTGACATCTCTGAAGTCAGATGGCCCAGTCTCGATCCAGATGATAGCATGATATGTACAGAGAGTGGCACTGTGAAGATAACATCTTTAGATGGTTATGCATACCTTTGCCTGCCCAAATCTCAGCATGAATTTACAGTGCATTTTTTGTGTAAAGTTAGTCAAAAGCTAGATTCAGCTGTAGTATTTTCAGAAAAAAATAATCAAGCCCCAAAAGGTGGACTAGTTGAAAAAAACAGCAAAATCTTTACATATGGGACTTTATCAGGACAAAGACTGAAGAATAAAGAAAATGAGCTTTATTGCCAGGTCTTAAAATCCAAAGAAACTTTAGGGAAGATGAACTGTATAAATGGAAGTGAAGAAAGGGGAGAGCTGCCTTTTCCTGGTACAAATCACCCATATGTATACACATGGGTAAAGCAGTGCTGGTCTGTCGCCTCCTGTCCAGAGGAATGGAGATACCCTTTGTCTTTAGCACTTCATTTTCAAAATAAAGTTAGCAACATGTCTAAAACTGCAGATATCACGAGTAGAATTTTAACTTCTGACGTTTCAGAGGAAAGAAGAAAAGAGGTTTCTGTTCTTCCCAGGACCCTGTTACTTAGCTGTTCTGCCCCACACCTGCACAGGTAATGGAAGAATGGTTTATTTGTCATAAAGCTTTTATGTCTTTACATAAGCATAATTTTCTTCCTAAATTATCTGGGAGTACTTACAAGGAAAGTTAATTTAATTGACACAAATCTGCATTTATTTGTTTGTTTGTTTGTTTGGGAGTACTGGGGATTGAACTCAGGGGCACTTGACCACTGAGCCACATCCCCAGCCCTATTTTATATTTTACTTGGAGACAGGGTCACACTGAATTGCTTAGCACCTTGCTGTTGCTAGGGCTAGTTTTGAACTTTGGATCTTTTGCTTCAGCCTCCTGAGCTGTTGGGATTACAGGCATGTGCCACCATGCCCAGCCATAAATCTTTGCTTTTAATAGATGGTAAATAATTTTCTTAGCAAAGGTATTATATCTAATTCTTATTCTATGTCCATGCCTTGAATGTTTTGGGGAGGCTTACTCTACACTGGATGCTTTGGTAAGCACAGTGACTGGGGAAATGACTTAAGACCCAGCCACTGCTTTCTAGCAACATAGAGTTTAGTGAAGGTTACTATCCCTAAAAGAATTAATTTGGGGGCTGGGACTGTAGCTCAGTGGTAGAGCTTTACCTAGCATGTGTGAGACACTGGGTTTGATCCTTAGCACCACATAAAAATGAAACAAATACAATAAAGGAATGCTGTCCATCTACAACGACAAAAAAAATCTTTTTAAAAATTAATTAGATGTGGTAAGTGATGGGACAGGAATCTGTCCAGGGCTCTTAGAGTAAGCTAATACAAACAGCTTAAATGCCAGGCACTGTTGTACTTTACCTAATTAATCCTCAAAGTACTCCCATGAGGTAAGTACTAGTACCATCTCCTTATTGTAGAGGAACTTGAGACCCAGAAATGTTAAATAACTTGAGTAAAGCCACATAGATAGTACTTATAGAATTGAAATTTGATCCCAGGTAGTCTATATAAGTACTCATTTGTTATTTAAAACAAAATAAGGGAATGACTCAGTCATGATTACCTTGTCAAAATTGGAAAATCCAGGATTATGTTTCAAAAGAGATTTTATGCTTTTTTAATTACTTACACTGACTTTAGGTTGAAAACCATTATCCTTTTTCTTAACCATTATTCTTAATCGGTCTTCTGTGATCTAGTCTCTTCCTGTATCTGTAATCTTCAGCTTTCTCACTATCTTACCCTTGTTTTCTATACTCTTGCTAAACTGAACTTTTGCAATCTCTAGAATGTTCACTCAAGTTCTCTTTTACCACTACACTTGTTCTTTTCTCTGTCAGGAGCACTTTCCCTGAACTGGCTGACTTTGGCTCATTTTCCATGTCTCAGCCTAAACCTCACTTCTTTAAGGTAGTTGTCCAAAAGATCTTAGACAAGCTAGGTCATTGTACAAGCCCATAGCATTCAATGTTTCCCCTTTATACTCAACATTTGCTATTTAACATTCCTGCCCAGGTGGAATCTCCACTGAGGGCAGGAACCATATCTGCTTTTTTTGAGTTCTTAGGTCCTAAGAGTATAATACCTGTCCCACTATAAACATTTTAGGAAATCTTTGAATTCAGGCTAAATTTTAAAGATTAGTAAAACTGTTGATTTGTATATAATTGTGCTGAGATCTAATACTGATACAATTGAAAATAATGGAAAAAAGATTTGTTTTTAAACTTCATTAATATACTTTCATATTTTATTCTACTTTAATCTAATGAGTTAAGCAAGAAATTAATGTTGTTACAGTGGCACTATTTTGCTGACTTTTAAGACAATTATTTGGAGTAACCAGAATTAAATAGACTATATTTTACCCTCTACAGGTGGAATTTTTGTGATTCACTTGCACAGAGAGAGTCTGGTGAAGAATATTCCTATCCTGAACTAGTGAAAGTGGTTTGGTATAAGGGTGTCATATATAGGTAAGGAACCTGTGTTGGAGTTAGAACTATTTATTTACAGTGTCATAGATGGGATGGGACTATCTTTGCAGATAGACTTGCAAGAGGACACCGTTTTGCTGGGCAGACTGTACTCCTGTGTTTCATCTTGCATTTTTATAAGTCTCAGAAGTAATGTTATTGGTTCACATGGGTCTTGTGACCCACTCACAAAAACCATGTTTACGAGATGTTTGCAGCAATTCCAAATCCATTCAGGAGTCAATTTTATTAGTGAATGTCATATTCATATCAGTTATTTAGGATACTCCTTCTAAGCATCAGAAAACCTAGTTGTCTGAATTAGCCATATCACAAGGTTACCTATTGAACATGGAATTATAGAAGACGATAGCAAATTAAAGATTCAAAGCAAATATTCACTGAGTAACTGCTCTGTACTAGCACTAGTCCATGATATCCTACCCAGTGATTCCCCTTTATACTCAACAATTACGATTTAACCTCTCTGATGACTTACAGTATTACTATTGGCCAGATGGACAGTTTGACTTCCATGAATAATGTTGGAAGAGCAAAGGTAAATAATTTTTTTTGGTGAGCATGGGCTCTCCATTTCTTACGTAAAGATCCACCCACTTCGGACAACATATTTTTCATATATGTTCCAATAAAATTAACTTTTAACTTCAGTTTTTAAATAGTATATGACCAATACTTTAATTGTACCTGGCTGCTCTGGGTATAACTGGTCATCTATAAGGGACAGCTTCCTGCACAGTTGGTATATTTCAACTATAAGGTATTGGTTATGCTAGTTCTTTACTAAAGTTTATTTTCAGGTCCTGAAAGTGTCGTATTGAACTTCTATGCATTAGACATAGCTTAGTGACTGTTTTTTTTGTTTTGTTTTGTTTTGTTTTGTTTTTTTTATTGGTTGTTCACAACATTACAAAGCTCTTGACATATCATACTTCGAACAATAGTTTCAAGTGAGTTATGAACTCCCATTTTTACCCCAAATACAGATTGCAGAATCACATAGGTTACACATTCACATTTTTACATAATGCCATACTAGTGACTG